AGGGAAAATCATTTGATCGAGTGTCATTCACCACATCTATCTCATTAACACCGATACTTGGATGATCCCAAAGTTTTCGATGATGAACATCTTCCACAACTCTCCATTTATTATTTCGAGTAGGATCTTGGAGATAAAACACTTGTTTAGCTTGAGTGGCTAAGATGTATTGTTGATCGTCATACCATGTTTTACCGACATATCATTCATGACTGGTATCGATAAGAACCAAATTTTTTTTACTAATTAAACGTCCATCACCTAATGACGCATTGAACCATTTACCACGAAAGAGTACAACTGAATAACCATGTAAATAGTGCAACTCTATGATGTCCTCCAATTGACCGTAGAATGGTGTACCGTCTACTCCTAATGTAAGAATGCCACTATTTTGAGTAGTACGTTGGCGATTACGGCTAAGCACAACAAATCGAACAACATTTACTATGCAGGAGATGTAACAAGTTGCATCTAACGGACCATGTGCCAACGTCTTTAATACGTTAGTACAGTCCGAAGGTGATTCTCTTTCGAGGCGATAAATCTATAAGGAAATATAATATTGTACATTTAAGTAATAATATAAATTAGTTTTATATTATAAATTAGAATATAAGGTATTTACCTTTCTTTTGAACCATGGAGGAAATTCTGTTTTCAAATCACTTTCAGACGATTCTGATTTGAATTCGCTGGATGTGAGACAAAACAATTAGAATAGTTTGAAGATATGATAGCACTATTGGAAAAGTAGTTAATAGATCACAAAAGTTACGATATGTAGCCTTTCAGCTCATCCCCATTGCAGTTGTTTAGTACAAACCAATGCAATAATTTTTTGGCATCTTTACAAAATTCGGCGAGCTTCTTAGTGGACATCAGTCGACATTGTGATGAGAACACATTAAATTGCCTTTTTGGAAGGCCATGATCCTCATTTCTATCAACCCGATTGAATTTCGTTTGCATACCCTCAAGATACATAGAGCAGAATGTCAATGCTTCGTCTGCAACATAACCCTCTGCTATTGAGCCTTCTGGCTTGGCTTTGTTTCTGACATAATTTTTAAGTTTTTTCATGTATCTTTCAAAAGGATACATCCATCTCATGTGTACAGGCCCTCCAAGAATGGCTTCTTCAAGTAAATGAAGAATTAGATGAATCATGATGTCAAAAAATGTTGGAAGATATATCAACTCAAGATTGCATAAAATCTTCACCACTTCTTTTAATGGCATTTCTCATGTCGTTAACATCTAATGACTGTGCACAATTTTTTTTGAAGAATGTACACAAGTCAATGATTGTTGTTGAAACATTTTCTGGGAGAAATGCTTGAACCCCTATGGGCAGCAATCGTTGCATGAGGATGTGATGATCATGAGACTTCAGCCTAACCAATTTTGATGCAGTATCATTCACCTTCTTATTAAAGTTCGATCTAAAACCATCAGGTAGCCTCACACCGTTAATGAATTGACAGAATCGTTGTCGATCATTTGGTTTAAAGGAGCAGTCATCATGTGGTAGTATTATTTTCTTCTTGTTGTCTTCCTTCTTATTGATGACTTTCTTCCTCTTGTTGACTTTCTCTTTTGGCCATTGATCTGGCCGAATGCCCATATGTTTCAAGTCTTCTCTTGCTTCTTTTTTGTCTTTGGTTTTTTTCATTCATCAATGCAATATTTACAAAATTCTCGTCCACATTTTTCTCCACATGCATAAAATCTATATTGTGTTTCAGCTCGAGGGAAGACCAATACTCAAGCTCAAAAAAGATACTACGTTTCGTCAATTCAACTCTTTTTCTTGTTTCATCATTGCGCTTTCTTGTTGCACCCCTGTGCTCAGGATGTTTCCCTGGAATACGATCACGGAGACAAGCCAATTGCTTTAATATAGTTGTATTATTGAATCGTCTTGGATGTCGCCTTCTCTCAGGTTGACCATTAAACAATAAACTTTGCCTCCACTTATGGTTCATATGCAAGAATCGTCTATGACCAACATAAGACATCTTGTTGGTGACATGAATGGAAGATGTGTCTGCGTTACAAGTAGGACATGCTAAATAAACTTGACCACTCCATCGAGACAAACTTCCACGAGCTGGAAAATCATTGATAGTCCATAACAACATCGCACGCATGTTGAATATGGTGTTGATTGATGCATCTCTCATTTGGACTCCTTTGGCCCACAACATTTTCAACTCATCCACCAAAGGCCTCAAGAAAAAATCAATGTCCTTTGAGGGAGATTTAGGGCCAGGAATCAGCAAAGTTAGCATGAAAGAAGACTCTTTGATACATATCCATGGTGGTGTATTATAGGTAGTTAATATAACCGGCCAAGTACTATAAGTACTATTGAAGTTGCCGAATGGATTGAAGCCATCAGCAGCCAAACCTAGACGAACATGTCTAGGTTCTTTAGCAAACTCTAGATATCTTTGATCAAAATCTTGCCATGACTTCCCATCAACCGGATGATACATCATACCATCTATTGAGCGTCCAGGTATTATGCCAACTCATATCTTTAGCTGTAAATCTGCAGCTATACATTCGTCGAAGTCTTGGAGTCAAAGGAAAATACCGCAACACTTTTTGTGGTACTTTCTTCCCCTTTGTAGTTGTGTCCATCCATCTACTCTCCTTACAAATCGGGCAATTCTTCATGGAACCATTCTCCTTCCAAAACAAAGCACAATCATTTTTGCAAGCGTGGATCGATTGATATCCTAACTCTATCTTTCTCAACTTATTTTTAGCTTCATAGTGTGAAGCTGGAATTTTGCTCTTCGGGAAAGCAACTCTTAGCAACTCTACAAGTTGGTCAAACAAACTATTTTTCCATCTATTGATCACTTTAATATGCAACAACTTTGCCAAAAAGTTTAAGTCAGACATATTGCTACATTCAGGGTATAACTTGGTATTGAGCTCCTCAAACATATCATCAAATTCCGGGTCTATAGCTCGCCCCACCTCGTCTATATTTTCTTGATTTGTATTTTGTTCCGCCAAAACATCATCAATTACATCAAACATCTCATTACTTGTGGTCGTGTTTACGGGAATGTTTGTTCTTGGAGTCGAATTGTAGCTTAAATCCGAAGAACCGACATGTTTCTCACCGTGATGAATCCACGTAGTATATGTTTCTAGAAACCCAATGTCATGTAAGTGGGCATAAACCGTAGGCAAAACATGTCGATACGAATTCACACACGTTTTGCACGGGCAACGCACTTTGCCTTTGGAGTTGACATGTTTCTCAGCAATGTTCATAAATATTTTAAGACTTTCCATGTATTTTGAAGACATTCGGTTCTCTCTAATCCAACTCATATCAATCATCATTGTTGTTTCATTATTAAAAATTATATATATATATATATATATATATATATATATATATATATATATATATATATATATATATATATATATACACTTATCGAAAGTTAGATTGTATTTGGGCTATATAAATAAATATATACCCAAGAATGGATAGAGTATTCACAATGTTATTCAACGTGTTTTAATAAGAAAATCATATCAATTTGATTTTATAATTTATTTTATTTTATTTTAATATTAATATTAATTTCATTTTACAACTAATTTAATTTGATTTTATAATTAATTTGATTTTGTTTTAAATTAATATTAATTTGATTTTAAAACTAATTTAATTTGATTTTACAATTAATTTAATATTTTTTATTGAGTTTTTTTTAAATTAAATCACCTTTACTTTATAATTATTTTAGAATTACTAAAAGTACGTTGCCATTAATAAACTAATTAATCTAAAGTCGTAAAGACCAACATTAAGTCACTAACAAAATTAAACACTCAAATTGTGAAGTTTGATTGCTAGTTCTATAAGGTTGCATATAAAATTAAATTGTGAAGATGATTCCTTGAATTTCTTTAGTTAAGTATTGTTTTTATGTATTAAGTCAAAATATAATGTCTATATATAGCTTATCCTTAAGTTTTTTTTAGAGTTTCTAGTTGTTTATGTTATATCATCGTAGTTTTTTCCTTTATTTTTTCTTATTCATTTTTATATTGATATATGGTTGACATTGCTGCATGCTCTTTGTTAGTGTTTTCACAAATCATAACTTGCCTCTTCAACCTTCATGAGGGCAAAATTGTATGTCTATGTAGTTTAAGATTTTTTGGCACTATTGGGAAACTAAATTAATGAGTGTGATTGGGTTCGTATCTAATTATCTAGATCTTAAAGCTTCTATCATCTCTTTTACTTGTAGATAAGTAGAATATATCACAATGTACGGACATAGAAAGCAAAATGTGGCCTTACACCCTGCTTTCACACACACACACACACACACACATACATATATATATATATATATATATATATATATATATATATATATATATGTATATAACATTTAGATTTAACTTTCCATTGAAGCACATCCAATGCACTAAAATTATCATCATTTAAAACCATTCATATCAATGCAATTCAAAGTGGTCCTTATGTTTTATATATATATATATATATATATATATATATATATATAACATTTAGATTTAACTTTCCCTTGAAGCATATCTAATGCACTAAAATTATCATCATTTAAAATAATTCATATCAATGCAATTCAAAGTGGTCCTGATGTTGCATATACATATCATGTTCTATGAAAAAAAACAAACACTGCATCGTCTCTGTGGTGTGGTATAGTTTAAGGAGGAAAATAAAAACTCAATAAACTAACCTCAAAATGTGGTCAATCACTGAAATTTCTTTTCTATGTGGGTGGTGAAACTTCTTCCCAACCAATAGAGAAATGGGGTTGTGATTTAGGGCTCCAAATTATTACAAAATAAGGTCCAAACTATTAGAAATTAAGAAGCAATCAAGCACCAAAACCCTTACCTTGGTGGCAGATGAACTCGAAAGCAGTTGGAAGCCCTTGCTATCGCCGACGAACTGTGAGAGAAAAATGGTGAGCCCGAATGCAAAAAGAAAGCTGAAAGGGTGTTTTGTTACCAGGGAAACCCTATACCGACAACATGTCGTCGGTATAGGTAAACGAAAACGTCGTCATTTAGCTTTACGTCATTAAAAAATAAAATAAAATAAAAAAGGGATTTCACGCGGATCGGGGCCCCCTTTTACCGACGACATGTCGTCGGTATCGCCTAGCGAAACGACATCGTTCCCATATTCTGCGACACGGATAAAAATAAAAGGAAATTAAATTTTAATCAACCTATACCGATGACATGTCGTCGGTATAGGTCAAAAAAACGACGTCGTCTTGGATTTCTGCTACAAGGAATTAAAATAAATCGAAAATATTTTTTTAGAGCATTTTCCTGACGACAAGTCGTCTATAAAGCTTTTCGATATACCGCCAACATTTCATCGTTTCCCACCGTGTCTGTACCGACGACTTGCCATCGACATAGCCCTTCTAGTCAAAGTTTAATGGTCAATGTTTTTTATGTTTGTACCGACGACATGTCGTCGATATAGGTTAACTTTTGCCGATGACATGTGTCTTCTGGATAGGTGTCGTCTGCAAAGGATGAAATTCTTGTAGTGATTCTGAAAAGCTATAAGTATGATGTGTTCTTGAGCTTTGCAGGCCAAGAAGTCCGTAAGAGCTTTCTTGATCATCTTTATGTTGCTCTTCAGTGGCAAGAAATTGTGACTTTCAAGGACGATAAGAATCTCACGAAATTAAAAATCATCAAAGATGATCTCTTTGAGTCCATTGAAGAGTCAAAATTCCACATCATTATTTTGTCAAAACCCTATGCAGCTTCCACCTGGTGTTTGGATGAGCGTGTGAAGATTATGGAGTGTTAGAACGCCGAGAATACCCAGTAGATTGCTTACCCTGTGTTTTATAACGTGGATCCCGCGGACGTCCGCCACCAACGTAAGCTGGTTGAAACAGCTTTTGCCAAAAATAAGAACAAGCCAGATGATGTAAAGTGGATAAAGGCTATGGAAGGAGTAGCTGGTTTAAGTAGATGGGATTTGAGAAATACCGATGATGGGTGTGACTCTTTCTTGGTGTTTTAATAAAATTCTTGTATTGTAAATTTTTATCCCGAACTTATTTATGTAATTACTTTGTATATATATATATATATATATATATATATATATATATATATGTTATGGTTCTTGAATTTTTGTTCATACAGGAAGCTAATTGACTCTCCCCATATTCTACAGGCATGAAGCTAAAGTCATCAAAAGAATTGTTCAGAAGATTTCACTCGAGTTACGTTCCACTAACTTAAAAGCCGATGAATACTTAGTAGGCATGGAGAGCCGGATAAGAGATATAATTTCCTCTTTGGAAATGGATGTTGAAGATGGTCGTATGATAGGTATCAAAGGGATTGGAGGCGGTGGGAAGATGACTTTGGCCACAGCTGTTTTTGACAAAACATGCTTTCCGTTTGAAGTTAAAAGCATCGTTGGGAACATTAGGGAAGTTTCAAAATCATCGATGTTTGGGTTGCAATCGTTGCAAAAACAAGTGCTTTCCATTGTGATAAAGGATATAAATTTCATCATATCGAGTGTTCGTGATGGGAAAAGCTTAATGAAAAAGAATTTGCCGGGTAAGAAGGTTCTACTTGTTCTAGACGATATGGATCACTTAGATCAGTTGGAGGCATTAGCTGGTGAGCTTAATTGGTTCAAGGGAGGAAGTAGAATAATTATTACAACAAGAGATGAGCAATTACTCGTTGCCCATGGAGTGAAAGTGATTCATGACGTCACTCTTTTATCACAGTCTGATGCAACTCGCGTCTTTAATAGGTATGCATTTGGTAAGGATATTCCAATTAATATGTGCAAAGAGCTATCACTCCAAGTTGTCCATTATGTTACGGGTCTTCCCTTAACGATCAAAGTTTTGGGTTCATTTCTTTGCGGTAAAGATGAGCTTGAATGGAAAGATGCACCGGAAAGATTGAAAAAAATTCCATTGAAAGAAACCCTTGAAAAATTGGAACTAAGCTATACCATCCTCGATCATGATTACAAGGATATATTCCTAGATGTTGCATGCTTACTAGAAGGTTGGCGGAAAGATGATGCTATTAGAGAACTTGAATGTTGTGAATTGCATGCTAGGATTGGCTTGAGAGTTCTTGAACAAAGATCTCTCATAACTATTACACATAATCAGGAGTTAGGCATGCATGACCATATACAAGAACTAGGCTGGAATATGGTTCGTCGGTTGCACCCTACCAAACCCATAAGACATAGCCGATTATGGATGCGGGGGGAGATTGAGGATGTGTTGACTTATAAGTCGGTAAGGATTAAGTATGTAGTTAAATAGTTTACATACAAGCTAGTTGGATGAAAAACTAACATTCTTTGGTTCTGACTGCTTTTGGATTAAAGGTTGCAGCAACAATAGCTATAGCAACTCACACACATCCATGGCTAGGCAAGCAAGGTATCTGTTGTAGATTTGTTACACATGGTTTTGGAAATATGAAGAATCTTAGATTTCTTCACGTGACTTCTTCAACCATTGATCTGTTGGAGGGGATTGAAGTTGGAAAAAACTTGCCAAATGCTCTATAATTTCTGAGTTGGCGATTTTACCCTCATTGCTTTTTACCTAAAACATTTCAAGCGAATAATCTCGTTGCACTTGAAATGCCTTTCGGCAGAATTAAATGACTATGGGAAGAGGGGGAAAGAAAGTTAGAATAGAGTATTTTACTGGTTCTATTGCCTCATTTCATGTTACTTTTATTGTATATTAATTAGTGCAATATTCATCTCTTTCTCTTTCTTGCTTATGATACGTGCTTAATAACCAAAGGGCTTCTAACCCAGCGGTACCGGGTGTTGCCCTCCCTCCTAGAGGTTGAGGGTTCAAGTCTCATTGGAGACATAGGTAGAAATAGGAGTAGTTTAGGAGTAGAGTAGATTTGCTGTTCCAAAAAAAAAAAAAAAAAAAAGGTGCTTAATAACCTCAGATTCCTTGACTTGAGTGATTCAGATTTGACGATTCTTGATTGTGGCTTACTGCCGAATCTGGAGAAGTTAAATTTTAGTAATTGTTCCGATTTGGTTAGACTTAACACACCCCATGGATCCCTAAGAAGGCTTGCCCAGTTAGACTTAAATGGTTGCCAGAGTCTCGACACTGTTTCATTTATCAAACAGTTGGAAATGCTTCAGGTTCATGATATATATATATATATATATATATATATATATATGTGTGTGTGTGTGTGTGTGTTTTTTATATCCAACAGAGTTCTTTTGCTTGATTCATGCTTGATTCATTCAACTGATGTGTTAATTATTACTGCAATATTAATCTACTTTTCCTTCTTGTTTGTCATAGGTTCTTGAAGACCTCGTTTTCCTAGACTTCAGCCATTCAAGTTTGACGACCCTTGATTGTGGCTTAGTTCCGAATCTCCAGAAGCTAAATATTGAAAAATGTTATCAATTGGTAGAACTTCATGTACCTATTGGATGTCTGAGAAGCCTTGTCTACTTAGACATAGGTGTTGTTTGTTTTTTTGAAGTCAAAATGTATGCAGTCTGCGGACCACATCTGCAAGCATCTGCGGCAGAAGAGGTGGACCAAATATCGGCAGTCTGCAATAAGAAGACTGTTTGTTTTTAACGTCTGCAACTGTTGAAATAAATTAATTTTTCAAACTTAAGTTCATGTCATAAAGATTACAAATGTATTTTCAGCAAAAAGAAAAAGAAAAAAAAAACGTTTTTTTTTGGTTAAAATGAGGTCTAAAGACCTTTGAAGACAGTGACCCATGTCTGCGACAGGAAGACCGCGCAGACATTTTTTGGTCTACGCACTTCCAAAAAACAAACACTCTGCGAGGGCATATGTATGTGCGTTGTCTGCGCGGAGCAGACAAAAGTGGATGCGCAGCTCTTCACAAAAAAAAAAAAAAAAAAAAAAAAAAAAAAAAAAAAAAAAAACAGCCCTTAAATAATTGCAAAAGATTAAAATCTTTTTCTTTTATCGAATAGTTGGGGTCACTCCAGGTTCTTAATATCCATGGGTGCAAAAACCTCAAGAGACTTCAATCAGGCATATGTGGTTTACGAAGTCTAAAACACCTTAACCTTGTGGGTAGTGCGATAGAAGAAGTACCCAAAGATCTTGGGCATTTAGAGAGTTTAGAAACTCTAGACTTAAGTTCTACACCTCTCAAGCATCTTCCTAACAGCATTTGTAAGTTGAAACATCTGAAAACTCTACATCTTGCAAGTTGTAAAGATCTTAAGAAGTTACCCAAGGATCTTGGCTTATTAGAATCTTTGGAGGAACTAAGTCTACAACAATGCAAGATAAGAGATGTTCCAATTAGCATCTGTAAGTTGAAACATCTCAGAGAGCTTAACCTTCGCTGTTGTGATCAACTTGAGAGATTGCCCAAGAAACTACGAGACTTGGAACGTTTAAAAGAGTTAAATGTATACGCTACAGGTATAACTCATCTTCCGCAGAGCATTTCTTTATTGAAAGGTCTGAAAATCGTTGGATTTGAATAAAGATATCCATCCACCTATGACAGCAACACCACCCAAAAGGAGTTGTTGTACCAGGCGATTTTGAAATTTACTTTTGTTTAGACGTGAATGGTTTTTTTTTCTTATTTTGATTTAAAGACATGTTAAATTGTAACGTTGTTACTTTGGTCTAGTTTTCTACTTACAATCGCATGGTTACATGTTTTTCGTCACTTAACGGTTTATATTTTTTGCATTTTGTTTCTTTGTTAGTATTGAAGTTTTTCTTTTGGGGGAAGGGTTGAATTTTATTAAGAAAGCTAGCTCGAAACTAGCATGAAAAAAAAATACATGAAAGTATTTTGCATCCAAACATTTAAGACTTCTTCATAGATTTTTAATGCCCCTGACAAAAAAAAACTAAATAATCCCCCATTGTTATAAAATATGATCAATTAACAAGATAAATTATAAAGTAAAGAAAGACATGAGGGTAGAGAGAACTTTTATTTCAATACTTGTGATGAAATCATCAAGTTTCTAATACATATGGCTCACTATTTATAATATCCAAATAAGAAGAAAGACGAGCTATAATATGAATGCACATTATGATGGTGTATTATTACATTCATAAAACACATTGAAATGGTTGTTACTAATGCTAAATAATGATGGAGAGTTATGGGAGAAATGGAGAATCCAATGGTCATTCACAAACTAATATTTCATAACACTCCCCCTTGAATGACGATTGTATCATGCCTCGTGAAAACCTTAATAGGTAAAACCTCTTGGGAAAAACCATTTGTTAAGGAAAAAGAGTACATGATTAATAATAGATATTTGGAACAATTGCCTCGTTAAAAACCTTGCTAAGAAAACCCAGTGGGAAAAAATAGCTAAGGAAAAGAGTACAATGTGTTTCTAACTCCCCCTGATCATCACATCATTTGATTTCCTTAAAGCGTCGCATTCCAATATTTTGTACCATGTTTTCAAATTTGGATGTAGGGAACGCTTTAGTGAACAAATCTGCCAAGTTGTTACTTGATTGAATTTTCTGGATGTTGATGCCACACTCTTTTTGAAGATCATGAGTAAAAAAAACTTTGGTGATATATGTTTGGTTTTGTCTCCTTTGATAAACCCTTCCTTGAATTGGGCTATACAAGCCGCATTACCTTCATATAGTATGGTTGGAGCGTCCCTGTTAGAAGTTAGACCACAACTCTCACGAATGTGATGAGTTAAATTTCTTAACCAAATACATTCACGGCTTGCCTCGTGAATTGCTATAATCTCTACATGGTTAGAAGAAGAAGCAACTAAAGTTTGTTTAACATAATGTCAAGAAATTGTTGTACCTCCAAAAGTGAATAAATAACCTGTTTAGGATCGAGCTTTATGTGGATCAGAAAAATATCCAGCATCTGCATAACCTATTAACTCCTCATTTGATGAATTTGAATAATATAAGTCCATATCCATTGTACCTCGAAGATATCGAAGAATGTGTTTGATTCCATTCCAATGTCTTCTTGTTGGGCAAGAACTATATCTTGCTAATAAGTTTACAGCAAAAGATATATCAGGTCTCGTATTATTACCAAGATACATTAGTGCACCAATAGCACTAAGATATGGTACTTCGGGACCAAGAAGTTTTTCATGTTTTTCACAAGGCCGAAATTGGTCCTTTTTAGCATCTAAATGCCTTACTACCATCGGGGTACTCAATGGATGTGAGTTATCCATATAAAATAAAACCTTTTAAGCACTTTTTCTAGATAACTAGATTGATGTACAAAAACTCCATTTTTGGTGTGCTCAATTTGAAGACCCAAACAAAATTTCGTTTTACCAAGATCTTTCATTTCAAATTTTTCTTTCAAACAAGAAGTGGCATTTTCCAATTCTCCAGGAGTTCCAATTATGTTCAAATCATCTACGTAAACAACAATTATCACAAATTCTGATCCGGATCTTTTTATGAATACACATGGGCTTAATAGATCATTTTTATAGCCCTCTTTTAAAAGAAATGTACTTAAACAATTGAACCACATACTGGCAGATTGTTTGAATCCATACAAATATTTATTTAATTTTACCGAATATACTTAATGAGAATTAGGAGTTTGTGCTTCTGGCACCTTAAACCCTTCTGGGATTTTCATATAAATATCATTCTCACGTGAACCATATAAATAGGCGGTAACTACATCCATCAGACGCATCTCCAATTTTTCATGTGTTGCCAGACTTATTAGATAACGGAATGTAATTGCATCAATCACAGGAGAGTATGTTTCTTCATAATCAATTTCGGGCCTTTGGATAAAACCTTGTGCCACAAGTCTTGCTTTATATCTCACAACTTCATTCTTCTCGTTTCTTTTGCCACAAATACCCGTTTGTGTCCCACTGGTCTTACTCCATTTGGTGTACGGACTACAGGTCCAAAAACTTTTCGTTGAGTAAGAGAATTAAGCTCTTTGTTGATTGCATCTTTCCATTTTGGCCAATCTTTTCTATTTCTACATTCATCTATAGATTTAGGTTCAAGATCCTCATTTTATTCCATAATCTCGCACGCAACATGATATGACAAATTATCGTCGACGTCTATCTTATTTCGATTCCATCTTATTCCTGTCATGACATAATTTATTGAGATCTCTTCATTTTCATAATTTTCAGGTACCCCGGTTTCTTTTGTTATGCCATTGGGCTCTTCTGGAGCTTCATTAATCTTTTCAAAAGATTTTGTTTTCTCTTTTGGACCATCAATTATATTTGCTCCCTTTCGTTTTTGAGGATTTTTATCTTTGGAGCCGGTTGGTCTTCCATGCTTCAGGCGTGTCTTTGATTCATTTGTAGTTGTATTTTTTTCTACTGGGATATCAATTCTAACCGGAGCATTTACAGCTTAAATGAGACTTTGTTACTCACTTAGGGTCAGTAAATGCTTGTGGCAATTGATCTGCTACATTTTGTAAATGAATTATCTTTTTTATTTCAAGTTCACATTGACTTGAACGAGGATCTAAAACTGAAAGTGACAATTCCTTTCAAGATATTTTATTTTCCAGCTTCTTTATTTCTCCCCCTAATGTTGGAAAATATGATTCATCAAAATAATAATCATCAAATATAGTTGTAAATAAATCTCCAATTGATGATTTTAAATATTTTACTATAGATGGAGATTCATATCCAACATAAATTCCCATTCTTCTTGAGGACCCATCTTTATGAAGTGAGGTGGAGAAATGGGTACATAAATTATACATCCGAACATCCTTAGATGGTAAATAATTGGTTACTGACCGCAAACCAGTTGAATAGGGAAGAACTCATGATAACTAGTTGTCAGTATGCATATAAGTGATGTTGCATGTAAATTTGCATGCCCCATGTCAATATAGGAAGTTTAGAATGCATTAGTAATGGTCTTGCAATTAATTAAAAGTGTTTGATTAACGACTCAACTAAACCATTTTGTGTATGAACATATGCAACATGATGTTCAATAGTTGCCTAATCGACATGGAATAATTATTAAAAGCTTATGATGTAAATTTTCCAACATTATCAAGTCAAATTTTCATAATTGGGTAATCGGGAAAATGTGCTCTTAGGCAAATTATTTATGCAAGTAATCCTGCAAAAACCAAATTATGACTAGACAACAAGCACACATGTGACCATCTAGTTAACACGTCAATTAAAACCATAAAATATCTAAATGATCCACATGGTGTTGAATGAATTAATCCATATATATCCTCTTGAATTCTTTGTAAGAAACTAAGACTTTCATACCCAACTTTGTTCAATGATGGACTGAATATTAATTTTCCTTGAGAGCATGTAACACAATTAATTATCTTGAAAAAACTTCTAGTGTTTCAAGAAATGACCACTTGAAGTTTCATTTATTCTACTTACCATAATTGATCTGCAATGGCCCAACCGGTCATGCCAAACTATGAAGGTAATATCATACCTTTTTTATTTTCAATAGCATGAATCATTGTAATATTTTCAATAGCATAAATCATTGTAATATTTGTATAGTACAATCCAGAGGACAATACAAGTAATTTTTACAAAAAAAAACCTTTTCTTATCCGATATCATTTTTGTAATGTTGAGATAATTTTTATTACCATCATTAGTTGTTTCAATAAGATATTCGTTACACCGAATATCCTTAAAACTTAATAATTTTTTTTCCTTGACCACTTTTATCATTAGGATGTGGATTTTTGTTGTTTTCCAACTTCTGGTGGTTACTTGTAATCTTGTTATTTTTATGATAATTATGATAACCTCTACGACCTCGGTTAGACTCATGACTATTATGATTATATGAGTTGTATTCACTTCAGGGAATGTACTAGAACCGGTCGGGATTGACTGATAATTTTTCATCAATAACTCATTGTTTTGTTTAGCCACAAGAAGAAATGAGATTAATTCATATTTATTTTAAACATTTCTCATGATATTGCTACTGCAGGAGCATGTTCGTGGTATGAAAACTAAAGAAAGTTTTCTCTAGCATTGTTTTCCATAATGAAAATAGAAATCAAAATCAAGACTTGTAATGTAAGGAATTGTTAGTTAAGAAATTCCATAAAATAAGTTGTAAGCATTGTACATGTAAAATTATAAAAAATACATACCTGAAAATGACAAGACCAATAAGGAGTTAGAGCTATATGGTAGAGTTGTGCTGATAATGTGTTATAAAATATGATAAAATAACAAGATAAATTATAAAGTAAAGAAAGACATGAGAGTAGAGAGAACTTTTATTTCAATACTTGTGATGAAATCATCAAGTTTCTAATACATATGGCTCACTATTTATACTATCCAAATAAGAAGAAAGACGAGTTATAATATGAATGCACATTATGATGGTGTATTATTACATTCATAAAACATATTGAAATGGTTGTTACTAATGCTAAATAATGATGGAGAGTTATGGGAGAAATGGAGAATCCAATGGTCATTCACAAACTAATATATCATAACACCCATTACTTGTAATTTTACATCTATATACAACATAAATTTATAAAACAAAAATGCAACTAGTATTTTTCTTTTCAAACAAATTCATATCTTATAACTAAAACTTGCAAACATCACTAAAACATTGTCCTCGTGCATCGTTTAAATTGAAAAAAAAAAATCAATTACTATCTCATAGTTAACATTGCAAACATCATGGTGAATTATTGTCCTCTGTGTTCGACAGTATCATCTCAGTGAAATCAAATTTACCCTCTTACTGAAATCGATATTTTACTTCACCAAAAAACATCGATTTTAATGCATCACCGACAACGATTCAGTCAATATCAACCATGAATCTTGACGGAAAGTTCGTTAAAATGAATCTTGAAGGTATATTCGACTGATATTCATTTTCGATTATCTCATTTCATTCATTTTAAACATTATGGGTGTGTTTGATAAAACTAGCTGATAGCATATTGCTTCTAGCGGGTAGCTTGTAGCTTCTGGCATTTTGGTAAACGCTACATGAAGTAGCATTTGGATTTGGAGCGTTTTAATTAAACTAAATGCTAGAAACTTGTAGTGCCAAACGAGGCTTTCTGTTCAAAACAGATCGTTTTGTCAAACACTAGAAGCTAAAAGCTCTCAAACGCTCCAAAACGCTTCATGCCGAACACGCCCTATGTTTTCGATGAATCTGTGAATATGATTTTATTAACAAAATCGTTTTACACTAGTTTGAAACCATCAGATGATCAACTTTTGTGAATTTGTATAAATATCGAAAACCTAATGATTTAAATTTCTTCAAATTGATACATAAATCATGAGTATTTAATTACAGACCAAAATTTTCTAAAACTTTGTGAATCTAACTCGTTTATAAGTGTATTCATTAAGTCGAAACCCTAATTTCATGAACTTTTGATAATTTGTATAAATACCGAAAACCTAATGAATATATAAAGAAAGCATGAATATCAAGATTAGAAACCGAAATTTCCTAAAACTTTGTGAATCTAACTCGGTTCTGATTTTATTCATTAAATTAAAAAACTAATTTCACATAGTGGATGTCTAAAAATTCAATGTTTGTGAGTATAACATTTTTTGACAATTCACAAAGTGAATCAGGATTAGTCGATTTAACATAACATTGATTAGTGTGCATTATAATTTACATTTGTTTCTTTCATCATATGCAAATTCACATTGTGCATCTATGCTTTATTGATCTTGTTTCTCTTATTCTGCTTCACCTTCTGAATATATAAAGAGTTGCATTGATAATGTTTTTGATTCACTATGTAATTCACAATGTGAATCATTGACTTACCCTTCCTTTTTGTGGAATTTCTTACAGAACGGGTGGGAAAGGATAGGTGAGGTCTCCTTTCTATGGTGACATGTTGATTACACGGCTTGCGCATTTGTTTGGAATTTTTAAAAAATGTGACATCGTGCCTTTAGCTATAGAGCCATAGAAACAATTCTCTACTCTCCTTTATAAAAGGGTAACTATTATTATAGATCATGGGATGGGTCATTTTAGTATTCCTGATGATACTCCCCGAGACCGACCTTGGAGGAGGGTGAGGCAAAGAGGAAGGGGACCCGAAGGAGATGACCCGCCAATGGTACTGACCGGGGAGGAGTTGCCCATGGACCCTTATAGTGTTGCGCAAAGAAGATTTGAAGACAATTTGGCAAGGAGTGCCAACTACACCAATATGAGTCTGGATCATCTTATGGCGCAAATACATGTCACACGAGCCACTCATTTTGGAGAGTCATACCCTTAGGCACCAAGTCGGGCATAATTATGAAGAGAAAAGCAAGGTGGTGCTGGAGATAGTGGAGGAAGAGATGGTGATGAAGATGATGAAGATTGAGAGTTTCTTCCTTTTTGTTTAAGTGGATTTAAGACTTGGTTCCTTTATGTTTTTATTTTTGTGTGTTTTTGGTTTGTTAGATACTTATTTTTGGTTTTGGTTGATAACTATGTTTCCTAATTTTATTATTTTTCTTTAGATTCAGTGGATTATTCAAGTTCGAGTGAGGGTATTTTTGGCAAAAGAAGATTCTTTATAGAGAAAGATTAGAAAACGGCGAGAGAGGAGAGATTTGAGTATTTTTGGGTGTTCATTTATGTCAAAAAGTGAAGAGCCATGTCCAAGTAATATGTTTAGTAGTTGGTGCTCAAGCCTAGTTCATGAATCTGATTATTTTTACACAGTTTTGGACAATTTTTCAACCAACACGACATGGAAATAAACAACATGCCGTGTTGCCGCAGCCAGAACACAAAAACAATATTCTTTTTAACCACCATGTCGTGTTCAATTTCACCACGAGGTGGTAGCTTTTTTAGTCCATTTTTCAAATCTGATAACACCTTCTGAAGTCTAAGTGTCCAAGTCTGTAACACCAGAAGGAGGGTATATTTGGAAAGATTATTATCTCAACGAGTGGTGTTTCTAATTATCCGTTGATATCCATGGCATGGATGAGCTGTTCCCATGCCATGGAATTTTATTTTGACGCGATGACGAAGTTTATCCCATCTGCCACGACACGGTTGACACTTTCCTATGTTGAGGGGAGTTTTTCATCACGAAAATAGGCTGCCATTCTACATACCACTTCCGTTTCCACACTGTAGAGCAAATTGGCTTTCCTACACATATCCACACGATTCGAGATGCATCTTCTATCCCAGGGGAGTTTGTTCCTTTTTATACCTATTTTTAATTTTTATGTTATATTGCATAGCATGCAATGAAGAGATTGCATGAAATAAGTGTGGGTATGGGTATATTGCATTAAGAGAAAAAGCATTTGATTTTTTTTTTCAAAATTTGCATTCATACAAACTTGAAATAATAGTTTAAGTTAAAAAACTTATGTAACATCCAAAATTCCAAACCAATTTAAACTTTTTAAAAAATGTCAAGTACATCAAAACATTACAACTTTGTTTTCAAAATATTAATTATCAGAGTTTTCCCAGAAACATAAACACAATAGGAGGACCTGTACGATCACGCCTTGACCTTGCCTCGATCCCCTGATGTACATGAAACAATAAACTGAAACTGTAAGCCCAAAAGCTTAGTGAGTTAACCCCAAAATACCGATACACATACAGTCCACATAACCATGTCACGATAACATATCATCACAACTGAACAGAACAATACATAACGGGTCCACAGCCCTACAGACTGTAATACCCACGAGCCCACAATACGAGTCTCCCTTAGCCCGTAACTGGAATGCTCCCGAGCTATAACATACACGTTTTGAAATCGTTTTTTGTAATGAATAAAATTGTGAAATACTATGTGAAATTGAGTGTTGAGTTCTAACAGATGATTTTTACTAGAAATGAAGTAAAACTATGTTTAGAATCACTCAGAAAATATTGGAAGACTTATGAGATTCCAATTAAAAGCCAAATAGTGAAATTTAGCGAAAATAAAAAATTATAAATAAGTAAAATTTTATTATTTGATGTTGTAGAGAATCTTGTTAGAAACTTGTAGGCAAAAACCTCGTCGAAATCCGAGTTATAACAAAGAAGTTATGACCAACCGAAGATCCGCGACAAAACCGGCACGACACCGAATGACATAAAAAGTGAGTTTTTGATAAACTACTTTTTAGCCTTATTAATCTAAATGAAAGTCGTAGTATTCGTTAAACCGAGAAATTCGATAAAAAAGAACGCCAAAATCTGACTTCGTATGAGGAAGTTATGATTTTTCGAAGTTTCAACTTAGCAGTAAACTCGAATTTTAGATCGAGCGATATTTGACCGATACATCCTAAACGAGAATCAAAGGTCTCGTCATTTGTAGTACAACGGTAAAAAGTCTGACGAAAACGGATGTTGGATGAAGAAGTTATGAATTTTTAACGGATTTTCCTGTCCCGGTCTATTAAAAATAATAATATTAAAAATAAAGTCAAAATTAGCCAACGAAGTCTAAACAAAACTTGTAGATCGTAATTTTAGCTACGTGTGCATATAAATAACGTCAAAAACGGAGCTCGTATGCAAAAGTTATGGATTTTAGAAGTTTGGGGCACATTTTCCGAGAAATTCGCATGGATAGTACCACCCACCGGAGACCTACGTCGCAGCCACGTCACCTACGCACGAAGCAGCAGCGTCACCGGAGACGTGGCAAAATCAGAAGTCAGCAAGTGTCGCATGCTTATTCGCCGAGGCCGAGGTCCAGCAGGAAGGAGACACGTCTCACATCGGTGGCCAGTCCGACGCGAGACACGTCTCGCCTACCCGCCTCGCATCCGAGCCACCAAGCTGCTTTGTCATCGCAGCGTGTCCGAGTCTCGCACCGCCTCTCGCATCGTGGTCTTTGCTCCATCAGCCACGTGCTCGCTTCTCAGCCCTCGGATCCGAGCCTCTCACCCTATAAATAGAGGAGGGTGCGAACCCTCCCGGCTAAAATTAGAAAATTTTCATTTTTCACCCCTAAATCCAAATATTCACTATTTTGACTTTTCCCGAAGCCCCAGTATCAATTTTAGCACCCGAAACACATCCCGAGACCCCCAAGAAACCCGGAAATTTTATCTTTTCGGTTTTGAAGCCCTACCTTCGCAGAGCCCGATTTTCAATTAAGCTCCCAGTTTTCAACATAGAAAGACATATTTAAAGCCGAGGTGTTGTCCAAATTACTATTTTAACACCCGGTTAACTTAAGGTGAGTTCAATATATAGGAACAATTGTATGTTATGTGTTATATGTGTTATGTGCTTTTCAATGTTATTATTCTGAGTTATTTTCTCGTGTTATTCGCTATATTTATAGCAATTATAATACCTTTGACAATGTGATCAGTGAAAGGACTTAGATTCACATTGGTACTGGTACGTAGCCTCTGGCCATGTAGAGCATGTCTCCGTAAGATAATCACTTCTATTCTATGGCATTGGCAAATGGTTAGACAGGACTATAAGCCTGAAATCTAACAAGATGTTAATCAGAAATTGCATGTCTTCTATGCCATTTGGGCCAAAGCTTTATTGATGTATATCAAGAATTGAAAAGTATATCTTTGAATAAAGTCTTTGATTGATATGAACGCTTGTCCCATGATCTCACATACATCTTGTTGTTCCTCTTTGCTTTTTCCATATTGAAGTATATATATGGCATAACATTATATTGTATCTATTTTTGAACTCACTAAGCATCACCGCTTACCCTATCAATGTTTAACAATTGCAGGTGATAAGTAACTAGTATGTTTACATACCATTGAAAGATTTAGAATAGTTTGTAATAGTACTTTTGTACTACAGTTTATTTTTGTATAAATTACAATATCTTGGGTAGTTATGTAATATATATATAACACTTTGTAATAGAAGGTTTGTATCCAATAGTTTGTAATTCCCTTTATCAATGTAAAATATTGCTTTTATGAATATGCAAATAGCATGTTTTGGAGTAATAATATTGTGAAGTATGAAAGTTTGGGTCTTTCAAAAATACGAAAGTTGGGGTCTTTCACGAGCCCATAGTACGAGTCTCCTTTAGCCCGTAACTGGAATGCTCCTAGGGTTTGTTGGCTACCGCACAAAGTAGTACAACCTCAACCCATCCCATATAACCAACACATAAATCATAAGAATCGAGCATGCAACAATCACATAACATCACAGATAGTCCTACAGACCTACCTAATAGGCATAACCACTAGCATGCGACGCTAAATCATACTCAGCATCTATCACAGTTCAAGGTAACACATGCCTTGGTGCCTTAGACCCCTTAGTATAGTGTGGATAACTCACCTCGCAACTGACGTCAGAAACCAATAAGCTTCAACTTCCGGATCACCAACACAAACTTCACTACCTATAAATACCATAAAACCTTTTCTTCATAAGTTTCCAATTTATCAGAATACCCTCAGAAATCATATGGTCAACTCTTGGTCAAATTCAATGCCCACAGTCAAAGTCAACAGCCCATGTTGACTCGACTCGTCGAGTGCAGTTCACCGACTCGTCGAGTCCTTCCTAAACTCGAGAAGTCGTGAAATCCTTGATTGGCTCGTCGAGTTCTCCTTTAACTCGTCGAGCTCATACGTGTCTAAGAATCAAGGGAACCTTAGTCGACTCGCCGAGTTTTCTAATGACTCGTCGAGTTCAAGGCAAAATTCAACGGACTCGTCGAGTTGTTCATCAACTCATCGAGTTCGCGGCCAAATTCATCGGGCTCACCGATTTGTTCAACCAACTTGTCGAGCCCTCGTAGACCTCCAACCATGCAGATGCTTTTTGAGCCATGGCAAGGCTCTAGATTACAGATTCAAGCTTCTAAGGCATGTTTATCACGTAAAGTTGCAAACTTTACGCACATGCAAGGTTCTAAAGGCCCTAAATGACCAATATAACTTTCCAATGGAGTTTTACACCTTAGGAGAGTCTCATTCTTGCACAAGCTGGAAACTTTATGTACTAAGAAGCCCAAAGGAGCTCAGTTCTAAAGTTACAACTTCAGATCTCAGATTGTAAAGAAGAGTAGCTTCCAAAGATACTATGAAAATCCTAGAAGTTGCCCAAAGGAATGAATGAGGTTAGGGTAACGATTTATACCTTCCAGAAGATGCTAACTACAATAGATCTTAGGTCCTTCAATCTCCTTACTTCTTAATGCTTGACCTCCAAGTTCTTTTCTCTCCAAGAAAATCCTCCTTCAAGCTTAAGAATGTACAAGATGAGCTCACACATGATTAGGGCTTTAGAGGGACTGTTCAAAGTTCTTCAGAGGATTAGGAACCAAGCTTACAAGCTGGAACTACCAGAAGAACTAGATGGTATTCATAACACTTTTCATGTGTGTTATTTGAGGAAGTTCACGGAAGAAGTTCCTGACATAATTCCAATTTCCGATTTAAGGATGGATGAAAACAAGAGGCTAATCGAAGAACTGGAGGCGATTGTTGACGTAAGACAAAGAAGTTGCAACGCAAGATGGTCAACTTAGTGCTTGTACAATGGAAACATTCAAATGGGCCAAATCTCACCTGGGAAATGGAGAGTGACATCATGAGTCGCTATCCGCATTTATTTATTGATGCATGATTTTGAGACGGAATCATCCTAAGGGGGAGAAAAGTGTAACACACGTTTTTCGAAGATAAGCATTGATGCGATGATGTAATAGTTCGTTGTGACCTATTTTAACGTAATAAAGATGGGTTACTTGAATATTATGTGAATCATGTGCTTTTATATGATTATATACTTGTTTGTGAAGATATAATAAAAATAAGTGTCAAAAATAAAATGTTGCCCGATATCTAGGAAGAAAGTTGTAGTTGTCGTGACAAGGATTCCGGATATATAAAGAATGACGAAATCTAAGTTATAATGAAGAAGTTATGACCTGTCGAAGTTTCGCGACAGAACCGGCATGACTTGCGTGGCGTAAAAAGTGAGTTTACGATAAAGTGTTTTTTAGCATTAGCGATCTAAACCAAAGTTGTAGTGTTTGTTAAACCGAGAGCGTGCATAAAATAATGCTCAAATCTAACTTTGTATGAGAAAGTTATGATTTTTCCATGTTTCAGATTAACAGCACACAGCCCGGAGTTCGAATAGTAGATCGAACGGTTTTTGGCTGACACAACCTAAACGAGAATCGAAGGTCTCATTAATAGTAGTTTAACGGTAAAAAGACAAAAAAAAAACGGATGTCAGATGAAGAAGTTATAAATTTTTAATGGACTTTCATGTCCTGGCCTATTAAAAATATAAATTTAAAAATAGAATCAAAATTAGCCAACGGAGTCTAGACGAAAATTGTAGAGTACGGTCCCACCTACGTGTGGATATAAAGAAAGTTGAAAACGGAGCTCGTACGCGAAAGTTATGAATTTCTGAAGTCGGAAAGTCAAAATGCGAAAGTTGTAGGGGTACGCCTAGCGTACCTACGGACGCCTCGCGTTTGGAGTACGCCCTGTGTACGAGAAGTGAATGCCTCGCTGTCTCCTTTCCTTCTACGGTCCGAAACGAGCCACGATGCACCACCGAGGAACAGACACCTGCCCTTACACCCCGCGTAGATCCAAGGTATGCCCCGCGTACTGCGAGGCCTCTAGGTCTATATAAGGGTTGCGAGGCCAGCCTCATTTTTCACATCTTTTACACCTTCTTTCTCTCTCTACTCTCTCTCTCTCTAGCCTCCGTAAACCACCCCGAAGCCTAGGAAACCTCCCTAGCAGTAAAAGAAAGCCCCGGAGCGCCCAAAGGCTCCGAGAAAAAGAGTTTTTCGGTTTAGAAACTCTGCCCCCGTAGAGCCCAGTTTCCAAGCAAACTTCCCGGTTTTGTCAAAGGAGATTATTTTAAGAAGCGAAGCGCTGTCCAAATCATCCCCTTATCAGGTGAGTGTATAGTCACTTTCATCTTACACATAGATATGAAGTATTTTATATAAATTACGTGCCATGTGTTTATATACTATATGTGTACTTGAGATCTATGTTGGAAGAAAGATCTAAACCTCTTTCTTTTCTGATCTAATTTTTTTCTTTTAAATCTAAACTTTTTCTTTTCAGATATGAACTTTTTCCTTCAGATCTAAACTTATTCTTTCATATCTGAAATTTTTCCTTCAGATCTACACTTTCTCACTTCATATCTAAACCATATATATATATATATATATATATATATATATATATATATATATATATATATATATATATATATATATATAGTATACTTGAAATCTATGTTGTATGAAAGATTTAAACTTCGTTTTCATATCTGAATTGTATATGTGTTTTATATCTACAAATATGTTGGATAAAACATGGGTAGATGTAATAAGTGGTGTGTGACGAAATAAAATGATGAGAGGGCTCAGTTTGACGATGATCCAGTCATCTAGCAGAGCATCAATGACGACAATGGACTTTTCTATATAGTCCAGTGGAACGCTAGCAGGCTCGCAACCTGTAGGTGTTTATTTAAACTACATGCTCACCAGTCATACTCCATCCCCCTCATGGTTGCCATATTTGACATAAATTGCTTTGGAATCTCCTAAGCAGTGTTATCACCCCGATGAAATTCTTTACGTTGGGTCCCTTTTATTAGATGCTTTAGGGACGTAAAGTGAGGATAACGGGAACGAGTAATCGGGTTTGTTTGGTTTGATGAAATTAATCAACTTATTTATTATGGTTTGAAAACCCTATATGCTCACTAAGCTCCCCAGCCTGACCCACTAAGTTTTTTGTATTACTGGTAGTGCAAGAGCATAGTTGGATGATCTGACGAGAGGTTATGGATTTTAGTCCAGCAAAAAATAAATAAAATGTTGTAAGGCCTATGTTGTTTTTAGGCCAAATTTTGTTTTGTGGCCTAGGATGTTTTTTGTTTTTGCTTTTGATCTGTATTGATGTTAACATCCCAAGTTTCGTAATACAATGAAAATACATTTCTTTATGGAAATGTTTTGATAAATCTTTATCATATTTTGTTTTGGAAACAAATTACGCAACACTTTTCTTTAAAAAGTTACTCTGATTTTATTAAAAAGCATAAACGAAATCGATGTTTTCTGTCCGTGAAAATGGGGTTGTCACAGGCCCGGGTTGATCGCAGCGCATACACCCATATTTTCCACAAGCTTGAGATTTTGAGATTGTACTCTGATAATTGCTTTTATTATAAAATACCTTTAAGGGTTTGAATAAATGATAAATATGTGTTTTGGTTGTTTTAAAAAAAATTACCTTCGTATTTTGGGTTGTTACACAGCGGGACGCAGCAGCACCCTAGCCAGGGGCTCTGCCTCTTGGACCCGCTAGGGGCACTGCCCCTAGACCCCGCCAAATTGTCATCAAACCGGCTTCTAATTCGATCTTATACATGTGTACACTCCGCACAAACCCGTACATATATTAGAGTACAAATTATAAAGCTAGCTCACATGTTAGTTCCAATTGCATAAAATGACATGGTGACACTAAAATCACCAACAAATACCATAGTAGAACCTAGAGAAAATATATATTCTATATTGAATGTGAAATTTATGTTACAAAATAGAGGATATAAGACAACAATTTATAGGCCTAAGAAACATAATACAATGAGGATAAAGACATACTAATACTGATCCTATATGAATACAAACACACAAATATAAGGAAATATATGATAACACAAATAAATTCTAAATTCAGATACAAAGTAAGACAATTATTAAAGAACATCGTGAGGACCTTTTTAATAGTTCTTAGTTGATGCTCTATTCTTCTCAGAATCATCTGTCTTATCTTTGTTCTTGACACATAGGTCTATATAACTTAATCTTCTTATTTAAATCCAACGATCTTAAGACCATTTAGTAAAGAAATGCTCTGGGGAAGATGACTTATACCTGCACCTTCTACATCTAACTGTTCTAAGCATTTTATGTCTCCTAGTTTCTCAAGTAATCTCTCAAGTTGATCACAGTTGTGAAGGTCAAGATTTTTGAGATGTTTCAACTTGCAGATGCTACTCGTAACATCTCTTATCTTGCAATAGGCTAGATTTAGTTTCTCCAAAGATTCTAATAGGCCAAGATCCTCGGGTAACTTCTTAAGAACATTACCACCCTTAAGAAGTAGGATTTTTCAGATGTTTCAACATACAAATGCTATTAGGGAGATGTTTCAACATACAAATGCTATTGGGGAGATGTTTCACAGGTGTAAACATTAAATTTAGTTTTTCTAAAGATTCTAAAAGGCCAAGATCCTCTGGTAATTCCTCTATTGCACAATTTTGAAGGTCAAGGTTTTTTAAACATTTTAAGCTACATATACTTTGTGGCAGACTCTGGAGGTTGGGGCATCGACTAAGATCTAGATAAAAAGCTTTTGAAGATTTCCAATCAATGAGGGTAGTTCTTTAAAAGTGTTCATTGAAAGGTTAAGCTCTAGCAAACTATAGTTATAGTGCCATGGAAGTATATCTGGAAACTCAATTAGATATAAATAACTTAGATCAAGGACCTCTAGTGATTCCAGTTGCTTGACAAATGAAAAAGATTTCAATCCACAACAATGATATAAGTCTAAGTTGACAAGCCTTATTAGACATCCAATAGGCGTGTGAAGATCGATCAAATCAGAGCATTTTTCAAGATTTATCTTCTCCATATTCAAAAATAAGCCACAATCAAGGGTCTTCAAATTTGAGTAACTCAAGTCAAGGAATCTGAGGTTGTTAAGAACCTATCATAAACAAGAAAGAAGAAAAAGAAGAACAATGAAGTAACGACAAACCAATAGATGTATAGCAGTAAAATGAAACATGCAAAAAAACCAATCAAACATTTCACCTTTCTTTCTCTGCTTTCCCATAGTTGTTCAATTCTGTTGTGATGCATTTCAAGTGCAACCAGATTATTTTCTTGAAATGTTTTAAGTAAACACCAATGACGGTAACCATGCCAACTCAACCAGATTCTTTCTCTGATGTTGTTAAGAACCTATCATAAACAAGAAAGAAGAAAAAGAAGAACAATGAAGTAACAACAAACCAATACATGTATAGCAGTAAAATGAAACATGCAAAAAAACCAATCAAACATTTCACCTTTCTTTCTCTGCTTTCCCATAGTTGTTCAATTCTGCTGTCATGCATTTCAAGTGCAACCAGATTATTTGCTTGAAATGTTTTAGGTAAACACCAATGACGGTAACCATTCCAACTCAAAAATCATAATGTATTTGGGAAATTTTGAACAACTTCAAAGAAACTGCCAAAGACCACATGAAGAAATCTCAGTCTTTGCATATTTCCAAAACCTTTTGTAAGAACTTTTGGGCAAAGATCCTCCTCATCATGACATGATGAAAATGTGTTAGTTGCTATATCTCTTGTCGCTTCCATAACGTGCAATCCAAGAATAGTGATCACAAAACTTGTGTCATAACTCATAACTAATGAAAGTATAAGTTAATTTCATTATTACCATATCATTAGCCAATACATCTTCAATCTCTTTTTGAATCCACAATCAGCTATGTCTAATAGGCTCATCAGGATACGAACAACGAACAATATTCTGGCCCATTTCTTCTGTATGATCATGCATGCCTAACTACTGATCAGGAGAAATAGTAATGAGAGACTTTTGTTCGAGAACTCTTAAACCATTCCTAGCATGAAATCCACATCTATCTAGTGCTCTAATTGCTCGTTCTTTATTCCAGCCTTTCAGTAAGCATGCAACATCTAGGAATATTTCCTTGTAGTCATCCTCTAGACTAGTATAGCTTAATTCCAATTTTTCTAAAGTTTCTTTCAATGGAATTCTTTTTAGTCCTTTTAGTAAATCTTTCCATTCAGGATTTTCTTTACCACAGAGAAATGAACCCAAAACTTTGATTATTAAAGAAAGACAAGCAGCATAATGTACAACTTCGAGTGTGAGATCTTTGTATGTTTGAATCGGAATATCTCTACCAAATGCATTCCTACTGAAGAGGCATGTTGCTTCATCTTGTGACAACCGATTGATATCATGATTTCGTTTCACTCGGTCTACTTTGAGCACTTGCTCATCTCTTGTTGTAATAATAATTCTACCTCCTTGTTTAAACCAATTAATCCCACCAGCTAATGCATCCAATTGGTCTAAATGATCCACGCTGTCTAAAACAAGAAGAACCTTTTTGCCACACAACATCTTTTTGATTATGCTTTTCCCTTCATGAACATTCCCAACAGTGAAACTTCTATCATTTAAAACATTGGAAAGTACTTGTACTTGCAGCGATCGAAACCCAGACAATGATGCTTTGGAAACTTCCCTTATGTTCTCAACAAAGCTTTTTCCTTCGAACAAAAAACATATTTTGTCAAAAACAGCTCTTGCCAAAGTCGTCTTCCCACCACCTCCAATCCCCTTGATACCTATCACACGAACATCTTCAACATCCATTTCCAAAGAGGAAACTATATCTCTTATCTGGCTCTCCATGCCTACTAATTTTCATCGACTTCTAAATTAGTGATACATAACTCCACAAAAATCTTTTCAACAAATTTATTGATGACTTTAGCTTCATGCCTGAAGAATTAAAAAGAGAATCAATTAGTTTTCATGATATCCCAGATGAATAATCAGTTAAGGGTTGTAACATACACACATGCATATTTCATTGTTCATTATTGACAAAAGTCAAAATGATGAAAATTTTTACCCATCAGCAGTGTTCTTTAAATCCCACCCAGCCAGATTGGCTGCTTCTTTCAAAGCTTCTCTCTACTTCCCAACCTCTACCTTGTTATGTGTGGCTAAAGCTTCTCCAACAGGCCCAAGTTGTTTGCAGACTTCAGAGGGATCTACATTGTAGAAAATAGGGAATGCAATCTGATCCTTCGCCTTTTGGCCTTCTATAATCTTCACAAGTTCATCCAAGCACCAAAGACGAAGATGCATAGTTCTTAGAGAATACAATGATGTAAAATTTTGACTCTTCAATGGATTTCAAGAGTTCATCGTTAATCCTCTTTCCTTTCTGGAGTCTCTCATCATCTTTGTAAGTGTGAATACCTTGCCGTTCAAGAGCATCATAAAGATGATCGACAAAATTCTTTTGGGTGTCTTCACCTCTATAGCTCAAGAATACATCATATATATATATATATATATATATATATATATATATATATATATATATATATATATATATATATATATATATATATATATATATATATATATATATATATATATATATACCTCTTCTGAGTGGATGATGGTGAAATCGTTGTTGAAAAATACCTTAACGAAATATTAACTCCTAACAATTACTAATCAACAATTAGCATATCCCAGTTAAGAAAATCTAGCAAAAAACTTACTACTAACAAATTATAATTGTTATTTATTACGAAGAATTTTGAACACGCGCGAAGAATTGTATATTTGAACCTAAAGAGAGTGAGAGCAGCAGACAAAGAGATGCGGGTGCAGCTGAGAAATAGAAACTTTTAACCGAGCCGGTGGCAGCAGCTAGTGGTTGGCTTAAGAAAGATAGGTCGATGGTAGTTGAGAAAGATAAATCGAGCGCATAGAAGGCTTAGAAATAAAATGGAAAATTTCTTTTTTCTTTTTTCCAACGATCAACGTGATGTATTTGCTTAGAAAGTCTATGGAATTGGGTTGGATTAGATTCAACAGATATGGCCTTTAAATCATACTATTTTATAAAGAATATCTTAATAAAATATTAGTTTTTTTACATGATTTTTTTCATCAAACTCACTTAAGCTGTTCAAAAGCGGTGATTTTGATCAAGTATTGCACGTTAATATTTTTTACTTACATGATTTACTATTAAACGTTTTTTTACACAATTTACTATTAAGCTATCTTACAATCATCTTCTCCGACAAACACCATCCACATTCCATACCCATCATCACAGCCCACCTCCCACCAACATCATCCCTCTACTACAACAAACATCGCCTTCTATCACCACCATACTGAAGGGTTATGGAAACACATGTTCATGTTGGCTCATTGGCATACTTTTTGACTTCTAACATAGATGATTCTAGTTCCAATCTCACAGATCAAGGTATTTCTTTTTCTCAAGTTTAGGAAACTAAGTATTTAACAAATTATCTGCCCTGAAAACGTATAAAGCGTTCTTTACATTTTTTTAAAATGATGTTGTTTTGGCAGCAACTATAAACGTGGCAAGCTTGGTCACCAGTAAAGGTGCATAAATACATGTTTTAAATCAGTTTCAGTTTTTTTTATAAGTTCTTTTATAACCGGTTTTCTGTAGATCTATTTCATTTATAATTTGTTCGGTTTTTTTGGAAATGAAATTACATAAAAAAACATGTTCGATTTGTTTTTTTAGAAAACTGGTAAAAAATCGGTTTTCGGTTATTATAAAAACCTATTACTGAAACCAGCTTTAGGAAAACCGATTTTGGTTTTGTTGGGCTGGTTCTCAAAAACCTAGGTTGCTTTGTGCACCTCTGGTCACCACAACCTAATTGTCATCACTTAGGGGAGTTTAGCTGATGGTAACCTTCTAAGGGAAGACGGAGTCGTTGTGGGTTCGGGGGCCGATACTGGGGGTACCATCGGGAAACAATTCCTTCAATTTGGGTTGAGCAGATTCGATGGTTTAATTGTGTTAAATTGGGTTGGTGAACCCGTTAAAATATGAGGACTATTATTTATTTTTTTGTGAATGAATGTGAACTTTCAGAAGCAGAAGAGATTCCCTGCACCCTTAATTTACTTCAATTCAATTAAATGTCACTATCACTTTGACTATATACACTTTCAATTTCACTATATTCACGGATTCTTTTTATTTAGATAAAACTGTAAATTTAATCCCTGTCGTATTCAAAAAACTTTGGATGGGGTCCAAAAACTTTCTCACTTGCATGGAAGGTCCAAAATCAAAACATTTCCTTGATTTTGGTCCAAAAAAATTTGAAAAGACGATTATGCCCTTTTATTTTCTTTTTTGTATTTTTTATAATTATTTTAATACTATTCTAATTAAAAAATAAAGAAAAAAGAAAAAAAAATATCCCACACTCTATAAATTGATATTTTGCCTTTAGATCTCGTTTCGTCTTCAGATCTCGATACATCATCTCACCTTCATCTTCTTCATCACCTGCAGGCAACACACCAGCTCCCATGGAGATCGGCTCTACAGCTTTCAGAACTCTCCATTCTTTCTCTCCACATTCCCTTTTAGTCGCAAAACCACACTTCTTCCCATTGCAGAAAGTCCTCCAAACACCCTCTTCCAAGAGCCTTCGTGAATTTTCAACTTTCTTGATTTGTTCATCATCTTTATCACACTCGAAAGCAATTCTAACGAGCCCAGAAGCCATTTCTTTCACCAAACCACTGATCGGAGTTTGAAGCTCGATCAAGAAAGCAGGTTGGGATGTGGGGTTCTTCTGAAATGCAAAATGGACATGGCCACGGCGAGACCCAAATAGGGTTCCGACGACCTTCGGTCCCAACCCATGCAGCAAATTTGGGCGGTTTTACTGAGTGAAGTAAGAACTGTTCGGAATCTAGCGATTGTAAGGTTTTGAAACTTCTTTCTTGTTAATGGTGATGGTGATTCATTCAAGTCTTTCTCTTTCTGGTGACAAGGAATGAAGGAAGGGGCTTCTTCTTCTTCTTCTTCTTCTTGATCTTCATTGTTGACTTTGTTTTACCAGTGGAAGTGTTTCTTGTCTTGAGAGGTTTTTGCCATGGCTGTTTTCATATGAAAGAGAGATAATAACCGAAAGAGAAGAAGGCGACTCCTTAAAAGAGAGAGAGAAAGAGAGAGAGAGAGAGAGTATCGGTAGGGGTGGGGGTGGGCCCAATTCTTTTATTTATAATTTTTTATTAATAAGTTATTAAAGAAAATATAAAAAATACAAAAAAGAAAATAAAAAGGGCATAATCGTCCTTTCAAAATTTTTTGGACCAAAATCAAAGAAATGTTTTGATTTTGGACCTTCCATGCAACCTCGAAAGTTTTTGGACCTCATCCAAAGTTTTTTGAATACCACAGGGACAAAATTTGCAGTTTTGTCTTTTATTTATTTATTTTATTTTTTATTTTATTTTAGAAGTTTATAAATATATAACACATATTTTATTCATTTGTGGTGTTTTTACTCTAGAAATGTTTATATTTCATTCGATGCCTTTAGTTATATTCAATGGATTCCCGAGGCAAAGCTAAACAAACCGATTCTGGCTAAAAACGTAAGTTCACACAAGGCGGTTCAAGTTAAGATATTCCATTTTTTTCTAAAGATTTTCAAAATCTAAACTATCAGCATTACCAAAACTACCAAAACAACCAAAAGTACCAACAACAATATTTCCCGGTGCAACAACCTTACAACACATTTAGGTTTCCAGAGAAAAATCAGAGTTATAACCCATGGAATCAGTTTTCTCAAAGGCTTCCAGAAATCCAATTCGAATCTTCTCAACCCGAGAATTTCTAGTTCCGTGACGCTAAGAATGAAGAATCTGACAGTTCTAGTGACGACCCGACTCCCGAAAGAAACGAAGAAGAAACCAGCAAGGAGTTGCAACCCGTTGCTAAGAAAAAATGCAATTATACACATCGCCTGAAGCGAAAGAAGTGGGTGGAACGCGAAGAGTTGGCTTTAGCTAGGGCATATATCGATGTTTCTAAAGATAAACAATGCGGAAATCAACAAAGGTTCGATGCATTTGGGGAGAGGGTTCTAGAGCATTTTAATGTTCAAATGGGAGGTTTGGATCTGTCACGACACCAAGTAAACTCAAAATGGAAAGACCTCCAAAAGAAATGTAATGCTTTCAACGACATATATAACTGTAAGATGAACAGTGTGGCTAGCGGGAGATCTAAGGCTGATGTTTTACAATCTTCACTAAGCGAGTATCGGAGGACTATTAACCAGAAAGGTTTTCCTCGCCAACAAGCTTGGGAGTAGTTGAAAGATAACGCAAAATGGGCATTCATTACAAAAGTGGGTGAAGATTCCCCACCTCCTTCTTCGAAACGAACCAAAACATCTTCATCCAACACCTACACATCATCATTTGATCCACAATATCCTTCTGGATTCTTTCCCAACAACAACAATCGTTTAGTGTTGAAGACTACCGCCTCAGAGAAAAAGAAAATGAAAGAAAGCGATATCAACATCATCAACTGAAAATGAAATGTTTGGTTTCGTCAAACAAATTTCTGGCATCAAGACTGCAACCAAAACAGAGGCGGAACAGAGACAACGGTATTGGGAACAAAAACTGTGCATTCTCGAAGCTAATGAAGAACTAAAAGCTTAATTATTGGATCAGGAGATAGAGAACCAAGATATGGAGTATTTTCTCCGACCGCATGATCATTTGACTGGAGGTATATTGTGCATGGTGCTTGAAAGGAAACACAAAATTGCAACTAAGTATGGTTGGGAGTTGGAGAACTCATGAAGTTCAAAATTTCGACATCATTTGACTGGATAATCTTTCTCTTTATTATTATGTCTATATTTTATTTTTCTTTTTATTAAGATTCTCTATATGTAGCCTTGTTTCATTATATATATATATATATATATATATATATATATATATATATATATATATATATATATATATATATATGTTTCATTTCCTCTCTATCTTTTCTCTCTTTTCAAAATGAATCCAAATGTTCAAAAAATAGTAATGGAAGTTAACGATGATAGTTCATCATCTGAGGATGAACTTATCAACAATAATTTGTTACATGTATTGTCTCGTACCGCACAACTGCTTCTTTAGAATAATGCTAGTTCAAGCAACATTGAAAAGAGAAACACAATCCATAGAGATCGCTTAAAGGCTGAACGAATGTTGATCCAACATTAGTTTGCAGATGACTCAACCTATGGTCACGCGCAATTCCGCAGAAGGTTTCGTATGAGTAAAGGTTTGTTTATGTGACTTGTTGGTGACCTGGAGATGATTATCCTTATTTTCAAACAACATGGGATGCAACAAATCAAAGAACTTTCAGTGCGCTACAAAAATGCACATCAGTAATACGTCAATTAGCGAAGGATTATAACTCAGACTCGTTAGATGAGTATCTGAATATTTCAGAAAGAACTTCTCGTGAAGCTCTAAAAACTTTTGCTATGATGTTGTCCAAATATATAATGTTGAATATTTACGTCGTCCAACATCCACTGACATTCGACTTTTGTATGAAGCACATGAAGCTAGACATGGATTCCCTGGTATGTTTGGTAGCATTGACTGCACACATTGGAATTGGAGGAATTGTCCAATGGAATTGAGAGGCCAATACATGAGGGGTGACCATCAGTATCCATCAATGATACTAGAAGCGGTGATGTCACAAGATTTATAGTTTTGGCATGCATTCTATGATGTAGCCGATTCTAACAATGATTTAAACGTCCTCTACCAATCACCATTGTTTGATGAGAAATATCATGGAACAGGACCCGATTGCTCATTTTATCTGAATGGTGAACACTACAAACATGGTTACTGTCTTGCTGATGGAATATATCCATCGTGAGTTGTATTTGTGAAGGTATATCCATATCAAGTGACCGACAAAAAGATACAGTTCAAGGCGGCACAAGAATCAGCAAGAAATGACGTAGAACGTGCTTTTGGGGTCCTTAAAGGACGTTGGGACATATTAAAAATGTCCGCACGAGCTATGACGGTGAAGAAAACAGAAAATATAATGTACGCTTGTATTATACAACACAATATGATATTGAAATATGAAGGTGCTGCGATATCTCATGTGTATCAGCCCGACCCCCCCCCCCCCCCCAATCAACGAAGTTGATGACCAAGAAATAATACATGAATTGCACAATGCTGAAACCCACCACCAGCTTCGATCCGATCTTACTAATCCATTGAGCATTTCTACATTCCAACTGTAGATAATAACTAGTTAATTTCAATTTTCGATTTAGAATTTAAATTATGTCGTCTTTTTTTTAAGTGCATTTTTTTAATTATTGTGAATTTTTTTAATTTTTAGTTTGTTTTTTTAATTAAATGTTATTTTTAATATTATTTTAGAATTTTTTATTAAATTAGCAAAAAAATCAAAAAAAAAATTATGTTTTGTTTTATTTTATTTTATATTTTCTAATTTAATTAAATAAAAAAGAATATTAAATGTTATTTTTAATATTATTTCAGAATTTTTTTGTTTGAAATTAGCAAAAAAATTAAATGAAAAAAATGTTATGTTTTATTTTAATTTATATTTTCTAATTTAATTAAATAAAAAAGAATGATATATAAAATGGGTTGAATGGGTTGGAAAAGATAGGGTTTCCATATGTTGTGGGAAGGGAAAGATAGAAGAAAGAGAAAATAAAAAAGCTGATGTGGCAGTGAGTTGAGTGGGTTGGGATGGAAGGACTCTTTCCTATCTTTTCTCTTATTTAGTGGGTTGAATGAGTTGAGAAAAGATAGGATTTTCATGTGTTATAGGTTGGAAAAGATAAAAAAAAAAAAAAAAAAGAAGAGACAAAAATTGATATGGCAGTGGGTTCGATGGGTTATAGGAGGGAACGACTCCCTCCTCAATAAGTGATTAAAAATGAAAAGTTTTTCAAAGAAGTAATGATATATGGTTAAAAAAAAATGCTTTGAAAATAATTGTTTTTGTGTCATTAACCCGGTCTTTGGATGTTTTAGTGTTAGTGGTTACAATAGGTTCGCGTTTTTAATATAATGTTTACAATAACTACTGATGTGACAAACTCAGTCAACATGCGATGTCAACACAACCTACATGTCATCACTTAGTGGAGTTTATGCAACCTGGTAAGGTATTAAAAATGAAATTCTTTTGAAAAAAAAAATTTAAATGATTAGAACATAAAAAATTTATGCAAATAATGGCTTTATGTTATTCACTTTTAGTGTTACTAGTTATGATATGTTTTAATGTTCTTGAAGCTGCTATAATTTGGATTTAAATATGCTTCAATTTTATTTTATTTAATAATAGAAATATTATTACCATTTTTTAATTTAAAAACATTTCTTTTTTAACATAAAGACCACAAGGACCAGTTTAATTGACCAAAAGCCAATAAGAACTCAACAACACAACCAGTTTACCACTTTATTTTTGCAAAAATGGCTTTTTCTCACATCTATTTTTTTTAAACTTAACAAAATAAAAATTTAGGGACCTAACAAGTAAAAAACCAACAATTGGCTGGGTAATGATATTAAGTTATTAACCCCTGTTTATTATATCTACTTTAAATTAATCGTTTTTCACTATTTGACTCGTTTTAAACATGTGATTTATATTGGAAAAAGAAGTATTAAACAATTATAACATGAATAGGCACAATGACTCCCTCTTAAACAATTATCTTTTAATCAAAATTCATTTTGATTGGTTATATATTTTTCTGCACACAAACATTTACAACATGAATTTAAGACATTGATGATAATGAAACTTTTTCCAGCATCATCCATATCAATAGAAAAACATCATCTAGTGCATTAAATTTGAATCATCACAAGCTTTTTCACATATTTACCAACCAAAAATTTGAATCAAAATCTGAATTACATCAAAGTAGAAACAAAAGTCAAAACTTTGAATTATGATAATAGATCCTCCCTCCCACCCATCTTATGAAGAAACCATTCATCTCTGCAACAAAATCTCTCAGCCTACAAGAGTCAAAAACAATACCAAAATTTCCCAAAGGGTTATTATCAAATGCAACAAATAACAACAAATCACTTTTCTTTATTTCATTTCTACTCAAATCAACAAGAAAACAAAAAAGATTCATACCCATTTCACGAATTCCCAAAACAATCGCATCCATATATGATGAGCCAAAAACCTATTACAAAAGATGAAAGAAAATATGCCAAGATTATGAAAAATAAGCAATGGCTAGTAATAAAATCAGCCATGAGAGAAGTTGTATCTTCCTTCTATTATACGTAAAGACACCTCTTTTTTTTTCATGCTATAACTACTACACATAAAAACCAGTTTCTTTCTTTCTTTCTTTCTTTTTTAAAGACCGATTATAAAAGAATGTACTTCAGCCCAACTAGAAACCGTATAAAGAACACCCGAAAGCCCCTTCCATTTAAAAGAGCTTCCTTCGATACATTCCTTTTGTTTGTTGACTAAAGAGGGAAATAAAGGGACAAAAGATACGCCAAAGTGGGTCCCGATTCTTCTTAGACTTGAACTTGACCCTATGACTATGCCTATGTCAGCTTCTAGAAGGCATAGCAAGTCTCCAACTGAGTCTCCGATGTAGATTGTGAGATTTGTGGGGCCCATTTGGGGATTGTTTTTGAGAATGTTGGTGAATGCTTGAAGCTTGTCGATTGGGGATTCGACTTTTTTGATGATTTCTCCTGTGGATAATGAATTTTGGTATTCGAATTCGTTTGCGTGTATGTTGATTTTGTGTAGACCTCCTGTTTGTTTAATGAAAGAAATCACAATTTAGTTAAGGGGATATGAATTTTATGTAAATAAGTTATAGGGAAAAGTACAAAAAAAGCACTTGTAATTTTACAACTTTGTTGATTTAGACACTTTACTATTTTCTGTAGTGATTAAGCCATTGTACCTTTTATGACTGTTGAGAAAATCGTTTTCTCTAGTTACTTGCTTTTGCAACAAAAAAAAAAAGAGAGAGAGAATGAAGTTTCAACATTTTATCGATTTAGCCACTGGACTATTATTTTTACTGATTTAGCCACCAAACTATTATTCTAATAAGTAATAACTATAAATGAATAATAATCAGAGTACATAAAACTATAAAAGGACAATGTAATTTCACAATTTTATTGATTTGGCCATAAAACTATTACTTTTAATGATTTAGCCATCCAAACTATTATTATAATATTCATAAATGAATAATTTTTTAGTACAAAAAAAAAAAAACACAACTTACTTTCACCATTTTACCGCTTTCGCCACAAAAGTATTGCCTTTTATAATTATTATAATAGTCATAGTTCAATAGCTAAATCGATAAAGAAGAATAGTTCATCTGTTAAATCAATAAATAAATAAAAAATGATTTTTTAACAGTGAAAAAAAAAAGGCCACATTTTGAGCATTCTCACAAGTTTCAAATCTATCAATTTAACCACTTGACTATTAAAAACCAATAGAAAACAAACAGTTAAGTGATTAGATTGATTGTTTTGAAAAGTGAATCGACTTATATATATATGATATGATATATAATAATAATAATAATACCTGATGAGAAAGCTGATCTAATAAGATCAGCACACCAACAATATGATAAGACATGAACATTGACATTTAAGTTTTGATTGTTGATGATGCTTTGAAAGAATCCCATGCATCCATCAAGCATAATAAGACGTTCTCCTGCACGTTTTATATCTTCAACATTTAATCCCTTCAGCACTTCTGATTCAATCACTTTCATGTTTGCTTTTCTCTCAAATTCCACTAACTGTTCAACTGCTTTCTTCAGCCCTTCATACTCAAAACTCTCAACTGTAAGCAAGCAAAACCACCAAATACTTCATTACTCACTTTGACTAAAATTACTTATTTACCCTCTGCTTATCTACATTCTTTACACATAATAATAGCAATATGTAGCATGAAACTAATAAACATACTTTACTTTTGAGTAAACTACGTGAATGGTCCCTATGGTTTGGGGTGATTTGCACGTTTGGTCCCTAACTTTTTTTTTTTAACTCAGAAAGTCCCTACAGTTTGTTTTTGTTGCGCGCTTGGTCCCTATCTTACCTAAAAAGACTATTTTGCCCTTGATTTTTTTAGTTTATTTAAATAAGGTGGGGTAGGTAAGGTGAGGTGGAAGTGTGGTTGGGATGTGTTTATTTAAATAAATTAAAAAACCAAGGGCAAAATGGTCTTTTTAGGTAAGATAAGGAACAAGCATTGGCAAGCATGTAATAAAAACAAACAGTAGGGACCTTCCGAGTTAAAAAAAAAAAAAGTTAGGGACCAAACGTGCAAATCACCCCAAACCATAGGGACCATTCGTGTAATTTACTTTTTACTTTTTTACCCATAATAACAAACTACATATATATGATATATTAGCAATATGTAATCCAATACATGTTTAACATTTTAAAAAGTGGGTAAATTACACGAATGATCCCTATGGTTTAGGGTAACTTGCACGTTTGGTCCCTAACTTATTTTTCTAACTCGGAAGGTCCCTACTGTTTGTTTTTGTTACACGCTTGGTCCCTGTCTTACATAAAAAGTATATTTTTCACTTGATTTTTTAATTTATTTAAATAAACACACCCTTAATCTCATCCTCTCTCCTTACCTTACCTACTCTATCATTTTTCTCTATTTAAATAATTATCTTTTTACGTAAGATAGGGACCAAACGCGTAACAAAAACAAACAATAGGGACCAAATGTGTAGCAATAACAAACAGTAGGGACCTTCCGAGTTAAAAAAATAAGTTAGGGACCAAACATGCAAATTACCCCAAACCATAGGAACCATTCGTGTAATTTACTCTATTATAAAACAAGGAATTACCTTTTTCATTAGCCAACATACTTTCCATACACTGTTCATACTCTTCAGTGTACTCTTTTGAGAGCATTTCCCATGTGTTTCTCAAGTCAGCTGATGGCATCCTAACAATTTGACTTTGACTTTGACTTTCAGGTTGACTTTGATCAGATTTTGGTGCAGTAACTATAGCAATCTCAGCTAAAATGGCAGATGAATCAACAACTGAGCATGTCAAATCGAAATCAGAAAAAATCATGAGTTGATTTTCTGAAGGAATATGAAGCTTTGATAATGGAAGAACAGTTGGTTGATGAAGAGGTTGAGCTAAAAAGAATTCCATCTCAAGTTTCAATGCTTGATGATAAAGCTTTTGCATTGTATCCAGTTCTTGACCAGTCAAAGAGACACTTAATTTGTCCAATAAGTCTTCAATCTGAAGCATTGTTGCCTAAATTTCAAAAAAGAAAATTTGATATCATGTTTATAATTGTTCTTTTTTTTTTTTTTCAAAAAAGAAAAAAAACACAAAATATAAGGGCTTTTATGAGATTAACCCAAAGTAAAACAATCAAACTTATAACTTTTTCCATTTTCAAAGAGAGCAACAGACAATGAATTTAAGGTGTTTTTTTTTTATTTTTTATTTAATGGACTTAATGTCAACATGACTTAAAGTTGTAAGCTATAATACTAGATACAAGTGTTTCTTTTTGACATATAGCAGAAAGAACAACTTATTAAAAAAAAAAAGAATGAAAAATGAGGCTTTCACTAATTTTTTTACAAAATCACCTATGGGAATTGAATATAACTGTTTTTATTATTTTTACAGATTTGCCCTCATTTATACTTTTCCTTCCATTTCCCCAAATACGTCTTCATTTTTTCAATGTTTCTTAAACATCATTTATCCAAAAAACACTTAATAGGATATAAATAGCTATAATAAGAGAAGAGTTAATCTCATAAAAGACCTTATATATTGTTTATTTTCCTGATTAAACCTCAACTTTATTTTTTTTTCCTAAAAAAACCTTGCATTTTTTTTCAGTTTTTCCAGAAAAAAAAAAAAAAAAAAAAAAAAAAAAAAAAAAAAAAAAAACCCTTAACTTTTTTATTTTTTTCCAAAAAGAATCCTCAATATTTTAATCATTTTCGGAAAAACCCTCAACTTTTTTTAGCTTTTTCCGAAAAAACTGCTAAAAGGGTCAAATAAAAAAATGAAAAAAATGAAAAAATGCAAGTTTTTTTATGAGATTAACCCATAAGAGAATATACACTACATCACATTCTACAATCTACATATAGCATCATGCATCAACTTATTTCTATGAACTTGACCTCACACTTTACCCCGAAAAAAGTCAAACTAAAGAGTCAAACTTCAAACCTGATAACTTTCAGAGGAGTATTTGTGAATCAACTTCTTGTAAGGGTGTTCATCTCCATGGAAATCAACAAATGATTTAAGCTCATTTCCAAGAAAAACAAAAAGCCTCATGAAAGGAGCCATTGCACTCAGTGTATAAGCTGCAACCTTAGTTTTCTCAAAAGGAGTTGCAAGTTCTCCTGGACCTTTTACTCCTTCAACTTTCCCAGATGCAGTTGCTAATAAGAAATTTGTGTATTTTGTTGTTGCAGCATTTGGTGTTGTTTCTTTTGACAAGTCTACACCCCATTCCTGCATTCACATGTTTAATTTTATAAAAAAAAATGAAAGAAACAGCAATGTACTTCTATTTATCTGTTTATTAGGTAGATTTTCAATGAACAAGGACTAAATAAGAATAAAAATGAAAGTAAAACGTTGTAATTGGATATAATTTTTGAAGTAGAATGATTGAATACGAAAAAGATTGAAAGTGTTATGTTGTAATAGAAAGAAATGGAACTAACAAGAGCATGTTGTATATACATATTTCAATTTCCAATTATACCCTCGGGTCATGACCCAAATGACAAGAAAACAAAACAAAAATGGTAAAACTTTTTGCATAAGGTACATAGTGAAGGTTCTAGAGGAGAGAAATTCATGTTTGTATACATCCAAATTCAAAATGTGAAATAAAAGAAAAGAGCTCCTTTATAAAACATAAATATTTGTTGACACTAAATGGAAAAAGCCTCCTTTCCTTGACTTTCTCTATTAAGATGTGCTTTCGTATTAAGTCAAAAAGAAACAGCATCTTAGTTGTTTACTCATAAATGTCTGTTTAAAGGAAAAATAGATAAAAGGGTATTGTTCTGTTTTCACATTTTTTTTCATTTATATACTTGAACAAAAAGATTAATCAAGAACATACATTATACATACATTTTGTAATTAAATAGGACAAGAGTATAAAGGGAAGAACAACTTGATGATAAGAATGTTAGAAATTTCAACCATTATCACAGATTTATCATATAATGAGTTTTCAATCAGTTGTAAATTCTCCCTTTATATCAAATTAACTAACGTAATAAGATAATACTTTTTAACTAGTTGTAGATTCTACCACTATAGAACATCAAGGTACTAATAACGCAAAGAAAATGTCCAATAGAAATCAAGTTATTATATATATCCAATTGAAATCAATCTACATTCTTTATTTGGCCATAGAAATAGTAATTACATAAAGAACACACAGCAAGAAGGCAAGGGAACAAAATCAATATATAAATGTAATGAAATCTTACTTGAACAAAAGAGGCATGATGTCTAAGCTCGTAGAGAACATTCTTTCTTAATTCAACAATGGAATCCTTAGCATCATCATCATCTGCACAATCCTCTGCTAATTCATATCTATAACGAAAAAACAACCCCCAAAATCAAATACACTCCGATACCCCCAAATGGGCAAAATTAAACAATTCAAGAGCCGAAATTACTTACGCTTGAGCAAAGCATTTGAAAAAATGAACATCCTGAGCGACATAATGTCCAAATGTATCAATCTTAAGATTCCCAGAAGCCAAAGAGACCACAAAAGGCGTGTAGAGTGTCAAATTCGATTCCTTACTAAATTTATCCCAAAAACGCTTCGCGGCCCCTTCTTCATTTGGCTTTGGAGTTGTCGCCATTGATGAAATTCTTCTGAAAAAGAAATTGAGATTGTGATTCTTAACGGGTAAAGGGTATCTTCTGTTGCTATTAAAGAAAGCAGATCGAATAATATTGATTGGAATACTAAAACTGGTTTTGTTCAAAAAAAGGCGCATCAAGAAACAAGAATTTGGGGGAATTAGAGAAGTTAATGAAAAGGGTACATAGAGAATTGAGTTAAAAAGGGGAATTACAACTGTCGTGTATAAAGAGAGAATCAAATCTGGGTCGTATAGATACAAATAGATGAATACATGTAGCAGAAGAGTGTGTAGCAGTCGAGTGGGGGTAGGCGTCAAAGGGAAGAAGTTGGGCGCGGGGGTTTGGGTGGAAATTTTGGAAAATGTAAAGTGTAAAGTCGACTTCCATTTGTTTTTGGACTTGGGCTTTGACTGAGGGAGCTGCCCTTTGATACCTTTCAATTATCTTTACTATCCTTTTCCTATCTCTTATCTTCTATTTTGATCTTGCCCCTTTCATGCATCCTTTAGTTGTTTACAATAGAAGCCTTTGGTCCTACTTTCAATTATCTTTACTACTTTTTTTTAAATTAAGTTATTATCATATATTAAATGACATTTGTAAGGTATCTTTAGAACATAGTATTTGAAAATTTTGAAAAAATAGCAGGATAACTTTGAAAAGTCTTAGGAGTTAATGTCATAAACTTAAATTTATTTCTCATAATGATTTTGTCAAATTTAATTTAATTTAAATGGATCTTGTTGTTGTCAAAATGATGATGTGATTGCTTAAGTATGGGACATGAGAAAATCAAATTGTTTTCTATTATATTCTCATATAGTATATTATTATTGATTGTGAAATAGTTTCTTCTTCCAAACACATTTTAAATGCGGAATGCATATTTTTTTATGCTAATAGTAGTTGACATGTTAATATTTATTATGTTCCTGTGATTGTGAAATTCTTGTTTTTTATGAGATCAAATTACCACACACATCATTGTAACAACCATACCAATATCCAAATATGTGTATAGTTAAGCTACACCCTTCCCTTTGTCGGAAGAACAACTTAAAAGCATTTAATTTTAAAATGTAAGCACAAAGCTTAATGGTTCCCTAAAATACCACATACATCACTGCAGCAACTATACATATCACAACGGGTATGTGGGCTTCCGTCATCATCCCTTGGACCTGTAAGCTCACGACATGATATTGGTATCGCCATCATCCAAACAAGCCTATAGACTCACGACCGTATTGTCATCATCCAAACGCACATGTAGACCCGCAACACGAAACTGGTATTGTCCTCATCCAACAGACTTGTAGTCTCACGAAACGACATGGGTATCATCATTATCCTAACATAGCATGTAAACATACAAGCAATAAGCATGTAACGTCCGCAAATTCAGGCTAGACAATTAAAATAGAATAAACAATAAAAACAAAATTTTTATAAAAGGTTATTTACGATAAATAACATTAACCAAACTTAAAGTATATGTAAGCACAAAGCTTAATGGTTCCCTAAAATACCACATACATCACTGCAGCAACTATACATATCACAACGAGTATGTGGGCTTCCGTCATCATCCCTTGGACCTGTAAGCTCACGACATGATATTGGTATCGCCATCATCCAAACAAGCCTATAGACTCACGACCGTATTATCATCATCCAAACGCACATGTAGACCCGCAACACGAAACTGGTATTGTCCTCATCCAACAGACTTGTAGTCTCACGAAACGACATGGGTATCATCATTATCCTAACATAGCATGTAAACATACAAGCAATAAGCATGTAACGTCCGCAAATTCAGGCTAGACAATTAAAATAGAATAAACAATAAAAACAAAATTTTTATAAAAGGTTATTTACGATAAATAACATTAACCAAACTTAAAGTATATGTAACAAGGATTTTGCACATATAAAGAACTCTAGAATCCGACTTCGTATGAAGAAATTATGTTTCTTTGAAGTTTAACGATTAAACCGACATAACTATGTGTGTGGTAAAAAGTGAATTTTAGATAAGTTGCTTATTAGCCTAAGCAATCTAAATGAAAATCTTATAATCATAAAATCGAGAACGTGCATATATAGAACATCCAAATCTGACTTCGTATGAGGATGTTATGATTTTTCGAAATTCCAGTGTAGCAGTACGGACACATAAATCGAAGTCCAAATTTTTTGATTGTTAGCCGAAACAATCAAAACAAGAATTGAAGATCTCGTGAATATAAAGATAGTCGAGAACGGAGTTCATATGAAGGAGACCTTAATGAAAGTTGTATAGCTCGTTGAGAGGATTTTGTGGATATAAAGAACATCAAAAACAAAGGTCGTATGCAAA